TAAATGACAGCATTTATGTTCCAATCAAAAGCCATGCACTTAGCTAGTCTATTGCCCTCTGGAGATGTTATTGAGCTTATTATCACAACTCAGAGGGGTATCCCCATGTAAGCATCATTCTTCAATTCTAAGATACGGATTTTTAACCACATTTGAAGTGATGGTATTGGAATGGTTTTCCAGCTGGTGCCAGTGGTGTTCCCACCTCTGCATCCACCCCTTTCCAGCCCACAGCTTTTGAACAGAGGCAAGTCACAGTCAATAGCTGTGTACAATCAAGGGTGTATCCTCTAAGCCACAATGCATAGGCTGCTGTTGATATCAGTAGATTGTTTTTCTTTTATCATAGCCTTGAAGTCATTTCATTTGCTATAGCAAATCCTTCTCTCACCAAACCAGCTCTGTTCAGCCATATACTTCAGTCACCAGAACGGTATGTGTATTCTTGAGTAACATGAATGGGTAAGTCTCTTTTCTTCTTTTTATACATTAAAGAAAGTAATGTTGCTTAGCTGATTTTTTTTCCCTCAATTGGTTCTTTAAGAACCAGGGAAGGTCTTTGACTTTACTTGCTGCCACTTAAGAAAATTTCATGGTGGTCAAGGACTTAATTTCATCAGGAAATATTCTGAGCTTCAGTTAAAATGTAGAATGCTTTCTTTAGCCCCAAGATAAAATAAAATTTCATTTGCTTTTACTTTTCTGCAATAACTCCAATAAGGAGATATTGCCAGGGGCACAAGGGAAGCCAGTTCTATAGCTGAACAAATCGATAGTAAATCTACTTGCCAAACCTCAAACATACCCACTGAATGGGTGTCGGGAGCACAAACACACACTCACGCTCCCCCCCACTCCCCTACTGAACTACCCAGAAGGATGAGGATGAGGATGAAGATGAGATAAGGATGAGATAAAATAATGTCCTACTACGAAGGTTCTCACATTCTCAAATTCCTCGCACATACGGACTTTAGCACAGGGTTGTGTGCACAGTTATGAACCGAAACACGTACCATCCTGTTACGGATCGCATTCATTGAGTGATAGCTTTGCTGAATGATGGATACGTGCCTGACCCCATTCTAAACATTTTAATCCTAGGAGCTGGTGACATTATCATCTCCATTTTTCAGATGAAGAAACTGAGGCACAGAGAGAATTAAAAAATTGCTCTCGGTCTCACAGCTGGTGAATGGCAGTCTGGCTCTGAAACCCTTTCTTTTTGCCTATACACTGCACTGCCTTTTGCTGTGTATCTAAACCAAATACAGGTTTCCAGAAAATGCCAGACAAAACTCTGAACGATGGTGGTGATAATGATAATTGCGGCAACCATTTACTAAGGCTTTAACTATGTACTCCAGCACTGTGGGAGGTTTTTCCACACATTATCTCTTTAATCTTTACAACCTAGGGGCTTAGATTTTATTATCCTTATTTTATAGTCATAGAAACTGAGGATCAGAGAGCTCAAGTGATTTGCTCAAGGTCGCAGAGCTAGTTATTGGCCGACCTGGGATTCAAACAAGTCCACGGTTAGTGCTCATTCCATTTCCTACCTTCCACACTCACATGGGTTCCTGACCCAGGAAGTAAAGAAAACTAGAGTGTTCTCAGCAACGCCACGGCTGTCATCAATTTCATGAACACTAATTACCAGGAGGACGCTTGCTACCTTCCCACCTCAGAGCCAAGTTGGATATGATATGATTTTAAAACACTTAACATCTCTAGGTAAGATATGCACTTTGTGACTTTAGAACGCAGTTTTTCTGTTAAAATTAATAATTCCATTGAATAGCATCTGTCCTTTGAATTAATAGTAATGAATGGGCAGGGTTAGAAAGGTATAAAGATAACTGAAGTTGTTCCTCATATGAAGTTTTTGCTCATAATTACTGGTTGGGGAAAAAAAGAACAGAAAAAAACCCCTTCAATATGTCAAGATTTCCCCTTCCTTTAAATTTACAGAGATCAAGATAATGGAAACACACGTTCCAAGACAAGGAAAGCAGAACTGTAAGTCCTAGGTAGTGGGATTTCTTCCTGTTGAGAATTGAAGGCCAAGAGCCTGGAGGAAGATTCTGGCAAGTCTCCTACATGGAGTGGGCATTTGCCCAGCCGGGGCAGACCTAGGGACATCTACCCTGGGAGTGCCAGCCCTGGCACTGTGGCTGCACTGTGGGCACTGCCGTGTGTTGTATGGCTGCCTCTCAGAGGTTCCACTTGAACTTTAAGGACGAGGCTATGGCTTAGGTAGGTTAAGTCATTGCCCCAAGGTTATAGGACTAGAAAAAGGTGGAGCCTAAACCCAATCCTAGGTAGGTCTGAATTCAACATCAGGGCTCTTAACTACTGGGCAATCCTGTCTTTTGTTTCCAGGTGGCCAAAAAAATCTTAGCAAGAGCCTTTCTGATAATAAAATGCCCTGCCTGATGCCTTCTCCACATACCAAGCTCAGCAAGCTGTCAGGGAAGTAAAACGTGCTTTGCAAACTTTAGCTTTAGATTTTAACGTTATTACCCCCGGGTGAAATTTCAAATTTGAAAAAAGTAGATGTCAAGAACTCAGATGAAAGAATCTCTAAATATATTAAGAGTTTTCTCTTTGTACCTTTTCTGGGAAAGCTCTATGGAGACTTTTAAGAAATTGGAAATGGGCTGGGTGTAGTGATTAGTTTACATGGTATTTTAAGCAAGGCTAATTGTATTAATTTGATTCCAATGTATTCTCACTTTTTGTACCATATTAAAATAAGCCAAAAGAATACACACACACCAAATAATTTTTGCCTGTCTGTTTTGGTTTAACTTGACCATAGGTGTTCACCACCTCTTCATAAGGCTCAACCAAGTATCTGTGCCAACAGATGCAGGACACGCACCTTTTCCTGGGAAGATGATTGTGTTCACATTACAAAGATCAAAAAAAGACAACAAACCAGGGTTGTGTGAATGTGGCCGTTCATCTACTGGAAATGAGTATTTTAACTCCTGGACTCCTTCTGCACTAGGAGAACATGACACCATTGTCCACGTGTGTTAAAACTCAGACCAGGTCTTCATGAGGCAAGGCATTATTGGTTTCTCTGTAAATGTAATTTCTTTTTCACTGTAGGAGGTTTGTGTACCATATGAAATAAACTATCATAACACAGTTTCTAAAATTAAAAAAAAAGTCAAATCACCCTTACTCAACATATGCACAGTACCAATCAACCTTCTACTTTGAAGATCATTTCCTTATGGACACTCATGGGCTGGGAGAGCTACCCCTGGGATCACTGGCTGGCAAAGGCCAAACAAAGTGAAGGTCGTTAACTCTTGCCCTGAGAATTTGTAACTGGCCAAATGATCAGAAGAAGAAACTCCTAATAATTCCTTCTAACTAGTAAAGCATTTTCTCCATCACAAATACTCAAGTGGTGGGGTGTAGTAGTGCATTTTACTTGGATATTGAAAGAGAAAAATCAGAGGGAAATACCCACCCCTGGATATGGTTTCTACATGGAGCTCTTAAAATTTACATCTCAAGGGCTGACTGCTTGGCAGGAGAAAAGTGGGGTGTTCTATTTCCAGACAAAGCTCTAGGAAGCAGCTTCTGGGACTGCCCTGGTGTGAACATGAGTTATAGATATTAAAACCAACTTTTCCTCTGCACCAATACCCCATCCCTCCAGAAATCTTAATAGGCTTTTGAGAGCCTCCATTTAGAGCCAGCTGCATAAAATGATCCTTTGATGAAAAGGGATTGGAACAAGGGTTAAAGTAGACATTGAAAGGTTACTGTAGAGGGCACAGTGCTCACACAACCCTCTTTTAATATGTGTGCTGTGCACCTGTGATAAGATGATTCATTACATGGGGCCTCTCTTTGACAAGCCCCATCGTTCAGCCCTCGGGGTTCTGACGGGACAATCCTGCACCCGCCAGGAAATAGAACAAGGTCAGCTTTTTTTTTCCCCTGGGACATAGATGGAGACAGTTTAGCTTATAATGCATCTTTGTTTACTCTTTATGTAAAATAAAAACAGGGTTCAAGACATTGCGATTGCTGCTCTGCACACAGCAGGCCATGCAGGGAGTACGTAAACACTCTGCTGGGTGAATCAATAGCTGGAGGGAAAACCTTTGCAGGAATACAAGCTCCTACCCCCTTGTGTTTCACAATCATCAACAACCTCATTGGAGAGCCAAGGGCCTTAACCACTGAGGTGGGCTCTGGGTCAGACCCTCCAATGGAGAGTCCCCCTGACATCATCAACGTCTTTGCTTTTTACGTAGCATTTAGGTTTATTGGGACATCTGAAGCTCTGTCAGTGTCTTGGTGACCTCATGGCACAAGGGCACTTGAGCGATGGTGTAAGGGAATGGACGCTCTCCTGTGACATGAGGAAGGTGTGCTGGTTCCGGCAGACTAAGTCTCCAAGCTAGTTTCCTCGAGCATGGGCAGCGGGCCGGGGCCGGGGCTGAGCTGCAGTGGGCTTCGTGCGGGCTCACACTTGTCCTCTGCTGCTTTTACAGGACTTCATAACCTTCCCATGCATTCAGAAATGGGCTTTATTAAGGCTAATTTAGAAATCTTACAGCAATTAGGGAGGGAAACTTACCAGTTTCCCCATTGTCCAAGTTTTAAGAAAAAGTAAAAAATAAAAAGGCAAAACTGTAATTTTATTGTTAAAATTTAACCTTTTTTTTTTTTTCTTAAAGAATGTCCTGGTCTTGAAAGGTAACTTCTCCGATTTAGGTTATGACATGAGTCATCATATAGAAATAAAAACAAAATAAAACTTTCACATTCTAAAGGAAGGAAAAAGAATCTTGCTTCTAAAATACAGAAACACCTCCCAACCCTTCTCTTCTTGACATTGCTAGTAAACATTATTTATTTGCCTCAAATAGATGCGGTTACATATCACTGTCATGCAAAAGAAATTCATTTCCTTTCCAAGTTCAATCTGCCATAAAAATTCACTCTTGTTCCCATCTCCCACTCACCTGTCCTTGTGCATTAGTAACTAGTTGACCTGTGACCCCCTGAAGACTGGAGAGGGCATTGGCAAAGGCCTGCGGGCTTGCTAGGGAGCCCATGGCTGCTGCAGCCGCTGCAGCCTGACTTGCTAGTGGATTATTAACCAGCTGCAAAGAGAGAAAAGATCACTGTGAAAACCAGCGAGAGGCACAGGCACAGCACGCAGATACAACATTCACTCCGGGGAAGTGGTTCTTACCCCAACTGGCTCATGCAAAGGGCCTGGAACCCACCAGAGGGACCTGGTGAACATTCCCTCAGAAGCTCTGGGGTTTGGGGGAGGAGGGAGACAAAGCTGGGAGGAGAATACTCTCCACTAACCTGGGCTGCTTCATGGAGGCTAGGGTTAGGGCTAGCCAGGAGGAAACGAGCCGGAAATGAAGGGCTGAGGTGGGCCTTAGGGTCTTCCTAGGTGGAGAAATGATTGTGGAGAAGTCCCTGGATTCTGTCCTCTAGACTCAATAAAAGTCTGAGGAAATGTTGACTTTCCTCGAGGTATCCAGACAGTATGGGACGGGAGTGGGAGAAGACAGGAATGGATTTTCTGGGTTTCTGGGAATGAGTTTGTCATTCCCCTGCGTGAGTTGCAGCTTCCTTCAGCGTCACTGGCTGGGGCAAGTGTCCCACCCCACTCCCTTCTTCGAGGTTAGAAGGAAAACGAAGTCACTAGAAGGGGACATCCCAGCAGAGAGGTGCTCCAGAGGGCAAGTCCAGGGTCGGGAGGTTTCTGGGGGATTCCAGGTGGTGAGAAAGGCCTGTGGCGAGTGGTCAGGGGGACCTCGGATTGCTGTTTCAGCTCATCTATGGCCTTCCGTGGCCTCTCTCCTGAGGTCAAGTGAAACAGGGAGGAAGAAAGAGAGAGGGGGAGAGACCTGCTCGGGGAGGAGACTACGGCTGCCAAAATCTGTTTTTCGAGGGAGACCAATTCAATATCCTTCCTCCTGCCAATTTTCCACGCCACGGGTTTTCGGGCCTCCTGCCCATGAGTCAGAAGTGCGGCTTCAACTAAAATCTGCATTTAGGTTAATGACTAGATATAAATTCAAGAAACATTTAAACTATTTTCACAGTATTGGTTTTGATACATGAATTTCATTTGTATCTATTCTAGGGTGTTATTTTCCCATCCAGTTTCTCTCTAGTACAATCGTTGTGTATAATAATGCACTTCCCATCACCAGTTCCCACAGCCGTGAGATGCCGGCGTTTTAGCAGAAACCTGCCAACACTAAGACTTAGTGGAGAAAAAATTAATGCCATACTTAATTCAAATCCTGGAAGCTCTTCTAAAAATGCCTTTTTTTTTTTTACTTCTTTAGTTTCTTCATTCTGTCCCAGTCTTTCTTTCTTTCCTTCTTTCATTTTTTTTTTATTGCCCTCAAAACACATTTTATTACTTAATTCCTTTGGAAATTTTTCTAGAGTATATATCATATGATGAGGAAAGAGGTACTAATTACCAGAGGAAACATCAAAAGACAGTAATTTAGTAATTCTTTTTCATTAATATGATGCCCTTAATCTTAATGGTTTCTTTAGTCATTTATAACCAAATTTCACATAACTAATTCTACAGTAATTCCATTGGCCCAGCGCATTTTTATTTTTTAGAAATGAAAATCCATTTTAAGCTCATTACTTTATGTCTTTTGCCTTTATCACTCTCCTAAAAGACAATAATGATCTTCTTTTTTAAGGAGAAAAAAATTCTCATTCATTGGCCTAAAGAGAAACCCTGTCTTATCCCAGATTACCACCATGGGATTTAAAATTTAAGTTGGCCTTAATCTTGGTTTTCTGAGACTGTTTTTATGTTGTGGATGAGGTGACAGCTTTTAACTTGACTACCTAAAGTGAAAAGAGTTCATATTGTGTTATTTTTTTCACTACTAAGGTGAGAAGACCACTTGAGGACTACCTTGCCCAAACTGCCGTTACAGACACTGCCCATTGATACCCCATTCTCAGGTCAGCTGTCAGTGCTACGCTTAATTTCTTTTATGCAACATGAGTTGAAATCATTATGAAATTCTCAAATTTCAGAGAGATCTCAAAATAAGGTTCCTAATTCTCAAAAAAAGGTTAAATTATGTGCAGTTTGGTTTTAAGTGTTGAATATGCAATTTTGTCCATGAGTTTAGGGGTGAAAAATTTAAATCCATACATACAGAATGCTCTCTGAAGAAGATAGGAAGTTATCTCTATTTAATGAAAAGAAAATAGTTTTAGTAATTGTAAGACATTTCCCTAATATTTAGGACAATCAAAAATTCACATAGGAAATTACAAAATTATTCTCTGAATACAACAGTTTAGATTGAGACATTTAGGACATTAGTGTATAGTTCAGCTACAGTCCCATGCATATGCTGCAAATTCAGGTACTGCATAAAGGATAACGATCATTCTGAATACAAAACAGAGTATATGCTTAAAAGTGGCCTTCTGAGCCTTTGTGTCTTGGGGCCAGAAGTGGGGGCAGCTCACCTGCTTCGGAAGGTTGCTTCAGCAACCAGAAGTATATAGTTTTGTTTACTTTTGATGTGTATTTCCTCTGTATCCTGGTCCCAGGTTGAAACCCAATTTGTTCCTCTTTTTGCTGCCTTTCCCTCTTACTGGAGCAAGTGCCAACTCGGACAACTCTTTCACTTCCTATCGGCATCCCAGTGGGTCTTTGAGAAAGGCGTCAGGGCTCTGGGGAACTGCCTCCCTGGCCCCTGGAACTAGCTAGAACTACAGGCACGAGTGTGGGGTGCATGGTAGTGGGTACAGCCAGTCTGTAGATTGACAGCATTTCAGCTGGACCATTGGTGGGATTGATGGATGCAGCTTCATAAATGTCTTCTGGCTTTTCTGACTGTGACTGCCAAGGCAGGGATGTAATGTGCATTAAGACATGTGGCAGGGAGGGGGAGGGGTGGTCAGGAAACCATACGTGTTCTCCTCATCACCTCGGGTCATGTCACTCTGCATTGTCCCCAGTCACGTCATATCAGCAGTGTTCCTATCAATACTTCTTCTTGATTGGAGACCCAGGGTAGATTTGGACAGCGGGGAGTCCAAGCACAATAAATGCACATAATGAGCATGTTAACATCCCTGGACCAACTGGATATTGTGATGCTGCTGCCAAGTTTATGCCTTCAGATCTTTCATTGCCAGTGTGCCTAACCAGCAAAGGATGGCCCAAATGAAGGGTGACTGTATTAGATGGTCATGTTTTCAACAGACCAACTCAAAAGACATGCTGAATTCTAGCGCATGCTTATTTATAAATGCAGAAGCTCCCAAAGCAAGGATTTGCAGAAGGCTGGAGTTCTTCTGTTATATCCAAATTGATTCTGGCCCTTGATACATTGAGCTATAGTTCTGGAATCCACAGTCTAAAAATGTACTAATAGAAACACTGACTTCTTTTCTCCTTCTGTTTTTTTTTTTTTTTTTTTTTTTTTTTGCAGCTGTCCTGTACAGGGATGGAACCCTGGACCTTGGTGTTATCAGCACCACACTCTAGCCCATTGAGCTAACAGGCTAGCCCTCATTGATTTCTTTTTTTTTTTTTTTTTTCCTTTTTGGCAGCTGTCCTGTACAGGGATGGAACCCTGGACCTTGGTGTTATCAGCACCACACTCTAGCCCATTGAGCTAACAGG